AGTATATATATTTCTGTTTGTCTGCCCAAGGTTAGAGCCAAGATGCTGTGGACTAGCCTCACTCTAGTTTGCAGGGTGACTGGTGTTGGACTGTCTCAGGTAGGCCTTCCTTTTAAAGGAAGTTAGTTACCAAAGTAATGGCCGTGAAGTTAATGAAAGGGGAGGATTATCAGGGAAAAGCACCAGGCCATTATGCCTATATAGCACTTGGAAGGGGTCAGGATAGGGATTTGGGATTTTTCGATCACTAAACCCCATAAAGTTTCAGCATGTGTTCATAATATTCAAAATTCTGATTTGACCTGCAAAAATGCATGTTTTGATGACAGATTTGCATTGTATGAGGTTCCCAACACTTCAATGGTGCAACCTTTTAGTGTTGAACTGGGCACTGCCAGCTACCCCAGCTATTTATATCCATAAAAGAGAATGTGTGTCTGTCTGTCTGTTTGCTTTTCTTCCCAAGGTTGCAAGGTGATTTGTGATTGTATGGGGACTATCATAGGGTGGTCAGGGTCGATCCCAATGTCCATACAAGTATTTAAGTAGGATTGGCTCCTGTTGTGACCACCAAAGATTCCTATGATGTCAAATGTGGGTTTGGTTTCTATAGAGTTTTCCATCAGATTTTCAGTTGTTCATTGCACATGTAAGCGTAACATTGTTACAATTAAACTGTGCATCACAATAATACCAGTAAAAATAATGTTGTGGTGACAGTGTGTGTTTTCCCAGTGCATATATTGCATGTTCAAAGAAAGAAAAGAAAAGAAAAGAAAAAAAAAAAGAAAGAAAGAAAGAAAGAAAGAAAGAAAGAAAGAAAGAAAGAAAGAAAGAAAGAAAGAAAGAAAGAAAGAAAGAAAGAAAGAAAGAAAGAAAGAAAGAAAGAAAGAAAGAAAGAGAGAAAGAGGAGTGAGTGTATGATTGAGAACAGGAAGGAGTGAGGTAGAGACAACGGGAATGAGGGTGAGGTATGTTACGTACCTCTATAAGATACGTAATTAAATAAATTAATATGTACATTTATAATTGTGTATAAATTACATGTATGTATATTGATATACTTATATGTTCTATGTAAAATAATTTCATGTTACATTGTTGGCGTTAGGCCCAACGTATCGTGGGAATGATTGTTTTATTTCTTTGTGTACTCAGTTTCCCATGGGAACTAATGATTTATATGTGATCATATGTGGGTAACATAGGTGAATAATAATTGTGTGAACTGTATCTGGCAAATTGTCGTGGGATAGTCCGTTGCTGGATGAGCATGCCATCATTCCCCTTTGTATGTGTATTTTAATTACTATGTAAAGCAATAATTACCTTATTTTTGTTATACCAATATGTATTGACCATTCATTAAGTTAGTTTAAGATTACTCTTGTCACAATATATTGCTCCATTGTAGAATTAATAAATATTGTAACTTTGACAATTTTTCGCGGGGCAGAAGCAATGATTTTGACTCCCGCAGATATGTAGGCCAGTAGCTGTAACGGAACCAGAGAGTTAGCATCTTGTGGAGTTAAGTTGTACATTATTGTTCTGTCATAACCATACATAAATAATATTATATTAATTTCTGGGAGAGACGGTAATATTTTAATTTGATATATTTGTGATAAAGTAACCATCTGATTTTATATATGCTATTGAGATTTATGTTGAATAATTATATATATAAATTTTATATGTATTCCTTCAGTCCTAAAGGAAAATTTTAACAAAGTGCTCATTACTTATTAAGGGGTTACACTGGTGACCCGCTCTTGTGAACAGCAGTTTTAGTAGCCCTAGACCTTTTTTAAAGTTGGCTGTTGTAAGGTCACAAGCCATAACGAACGATAAGTAACAAGGTAGAGAGAATGGGAGGGAGGGAGCGGGAGAACAGATTGGATAGAAAAAGAATGGGAGGAGGAGAACAGGAGATAATAGTAGGGAGAAACCAGGATTAGTGGAGAATGAGAGGGGGGGGGAGAGAGTAAGAACGGCAGATGGGGGGAGGAGAAAGAATTTTAGGCAGAGAAATAGGAGAATGGGAGGCAGGAATGCGAGAATGGAAAAAAACAGGAGAACAAGAGGAAAAGAGAATGGGAGGAACAGGCAAACAAGAGGGAGAGAGAGAATGGGAGGTGCAGGAGAACAAGAGAGAGAATGGGAGGGATGGGAGAAAAAAGGGAGAGGGAATGAGTAAGATAAGAGAATGAGAGGGAGGGAGGGAGGGAAGGGAGAGAGAATGTGAGGAAGAATGGGTGAGAGATAATGTGAGGAAGAGGGGGGGTGAGAGAATGGGAGGGAGAGACGGACAAACGGGCAGACTCCACCAGGTTCCCCATCTAATCTATCTATAATTCTATATCAATAAGAATGAATGTCTGTTTGTCTATCCAAGGTTGAAGGCAAGACACTTGGGGCTAACCTCACCCAACCTTTCACGATAAATTATGGGGTATGAGTGTGTCACAGGCCAGCCAGGGTTGGCTCCAGTGCCACACTTTACAAAAATTGGCCTTTATGGCTCCTTCTGCCCCACCCCCCTCTCCACCTCCTCCTTCCCCACCCATACAATTTTCACAGTCAAGTTTGAAATAAAGTGGAAAAGTCACAATAACAATAATGGAGTGGAGTAGTCATGATAATATTAGAAAGAGAGTGGTCATGATGATGATACTGGAAGTGGAGTAGTCATGATGACAATATTAGAAAGAGTGTGGTCATGATGATGATACTCGAACTGGAGTAGTCATCATGATGATACTAAAGTGGAGTAATCATCATGATGATACTGAAGTGGAGTAGTCATCATGATGGTTCTGGAAGTGGAGTACTTATAATGACGATACTGGAGGATGCACAGTCAAGATGTCAGTGCTGATAGTGGAATATTCAAGATGATGATACTGGGGTGTCGAGCAGTGATAACGATCATATTGGGAACTGATCCATTATCTTTTTATTTGTTTCAAAGAAAATTAAATTTTCTAGTGCAGTAGCTTGTTTGAGCTTCAGACCTATCTATTGGAAGGGAGAGGTATATATCACTATAAACTAACAGATGTATGCTGCCTGCTGCATGATAAAACATACTACAGTAATATAATCCCACAACCTAAGGGTTTGGGACTCCTTTTTTTAATAAATTCTAATCATATTAATGTTAACTTCGAAGTACAGTCATACAAATAATTAACATGCTGTAGCAACAATATATGTACAAATTACAAATACATGATTCTCATTGTTCAGCAAAATACTGACATTCTTACAAGAAGATACAAGTACCAGGGTCAATAACCCTCTCTTTACTAGTGCCAGGGTCAAGATCATTTCCTCAGAAGGACCATGGTCAAAAATCATCTCCACACAAGTACCAAGGTCAAGACCATCTCGCCGCAAGTGCCAGGGTCACACACTTGTTATCGATCCTGTACTCACTGTAATCAGCTCGTTTAGTTGCTCACCAAACATAGCCAAGCCAAGAACGTTCTTAACCATTCATTTACACATCAGAAGCAAAGCCTAACAACGTGAATATCCCATTGCTTCACCTCTCCTGTGACGTTCTTTTCACAGGGGGAGGTGGTTAAAATTTGTTAATGTTTACCTGGGAGAGCAACAGCCCGCAGCATCCCAATTACCTTGACAGATGCAAACGTAAACAAGACGTATGGCGGCTGATGTTGCCAGCTGGTTTTAAGCACAACTCTTAAAAAAAAATTATGAGCAAGCAGCAGATACTATTCTATTTAGGTTACGCCGAATATATTTATAATATATTCTATATTTCATAGCATATTGTGAATTTTGCAGACTTTAAATACAGCTTCTTATTAAAAACACCACTTCCCTAATATGATAGCAGGTTCTGCTATTCGGATATTTTATCAGTTTTAATGGGTAAAATAAATCTTTTATTAACTAATGGTGAAAACAACTTCAACTGCATATCAGAATTTGTTATCTGTCAAAGAATTTTTAGTGTTAACATTATTTATATGTGTGCTAATGTTATTGAACGAAGTTAAAATTACTATGGCAACACTAAAGGGTGAGCCTTACAGAATCATAGAAAATGGTACAAGTAAATATTTTTGATGGGTAACAACAAACATTATTTCTCATTGTAAAGTATAGCATGTATACACGTATTGAGGGTTTTCTTTATTTTTTAACTGTTCTAAACTAAAGCATACGTGCTGGTCACTTAGCTAATGGTGGCATTAACAACTCGAAAGCTCGATGTAGGCCTTAAATTTAACTCAGAGATCAAAGTACGTTCACATTCATTGTATATACCTTAAATCAATATTTAACGTAATATTCGCTACAAGTTCCTCTGGGAGTCTGTTTGATTATGTGTGCACAACGAAAATTCACTTGGTGCAAACAAAAGTTGGCAATAAATGAACCATTTATCTAAAACTGTTGGTATATACTCTCCATTGACATCATTAAGTAGAGATACTTGTTTCTGTTTATACAATGCCTCGAAATTAAATGCATTAAATTTGTCCTCGCTCTGTCTACAAATAAGACAGACTGAGCATACTTCCATCAAACGAGGACATGCACATTAATGTTCTTACGTAAATGGGTAAAAAGATCAAAATTACTGTATTAGCAAATAAAGTTCCTATTTTATTTTTATAGCGTTATAAAATGAGTTATTTTCTATGCAAAAGTGTCTGTGAATCCCTCACTACAACCACGTTGTCGCCTGTGGACCCGATTGACTGGGCGCCAAACCTTAACTGTAGCCTCTGTTCACCCAGCAGTGAATGGATACTTTTTAAACGATTTCGCTGGTCATATTCCGGGGAAAATTAGGATTAAGGACCTACCCGCAACGCTATGCGTGATAGTGGCTTTACAAGAATGTAAGAACTCTTGTATATATATAAATAAATAAAATACAAAATGGTGTGTGAACGAAGTTAACGAACTAGTAATTTGTGTACGAAAGTCGCGGCATCGGCAACGGTTGTGTACGAATTGTCCCGAATGCTGCCTGGCGGCGGCATCAACAAGAGCCAACAGGCGCGCCCTCCATCACCCCTAGATCTCCAGGCCTGCCCTCCACCAGGGACTGTAGCAGACCCGCCTGCCCTCCACCAGGGACTGTAGCAGACCCGCCTGCCCTCCACCAGGTGCTGCAACAGACCCGCCTGCCCTCCACCAGGTGCTGCAGCAGACCCGCCTGCCCTCCACCAGGGACTGTAGCAGACCCGCCTGCCCTCCACCAGGGACTGTAGCAGACCCGCCTGCCCTCCACCAGGGACTGTAGCAGACCCGCCTGCCCTCCACCAGGGACTGTAGCAGACCCGCCTGCCCTCCACCAGGCTGTAGCATTTAATGTCAGACGGCCATACCCCATACCAGGTACTAGAGTAGTCGGGCATGTCCTCCACGAGGTACTAGAGTAGCTAGGTGTGGCTTCTAGATACCATAGCAGTGAAGTATGTGCTCCAGCAGGTACTACTTGAGACAGGTGTGTCCTCCACCAGGCTGTAACTGCTTCTACTACAGCATGCAGGCATGACCTGTGCCAGGCATTACAGCAGAGGGGCATGCTTCCTGCCAGGTACTAGAGAAGTGCTGCATGACCTCCACCAGGTACTACAGTAGTCAGCCACGCCCTCTACCAGGCTATAGCCATCCACACTGGGTCTGGACCAAGACCCGGGACAGGTCTAGCCAGCAGGCGGGCCGCGGCTTCGCTCCGGGACGACTCGTGGAGTCGACGGCAGGAGACGCCCTTTACTAAGCTACACGTATCACAGAGAAAGTTGCTTATGTAGGGTTTATACTGGATTGCTGATAATTTACTGCTCTATTACTGGCAATTCCATAATTGCTACAAATTCTCTTGAGCAATATGACTGACGGGCGAGATTATTGCCGTGGTTAGCTCAGTTGGCTCAATCAATTGGTTCCGTTACGTTCCTGGGCGGGACGAGAAATTTTGGGACATTTTCATGCATCCACATAATTACTTTCTTCGCCTAATTATAAATGTGTGTGTGTGCCTGGGAGCTGGTCAAGTTTTACAGTTCGTATCTTTGGGGATAGTCAGGTGTTGGCCTCGGGGGAAACCTCAATTAGCCTAAGGGACTTCCTGCCTCTGACAGTGGGAGACCCAAACATTTCTGTCACAATATTGCCGTGGAGATGTTGCGTTGTGAGTGTTGTGGCACTTGAGTTGTGGAAAGGGTAAAAATATGCATTAATCTTGTGTGATCAAGTTCTTTGATCAAATCCAACCCAGTAATATTTTATCAAACATCGTTCATATACTTTCTCGCCCAACTGTTCTTTTATTTTCAACTTTAATGCAATAATTTGCTTCAAAGTCATTTGTTCAAATACTGTAAATTTCTGTGTATGTTAGTTCATCAAAGTCAAAAGCCAACATTAACTGCATGTGTATGTTTTTCAGGGTCGGTTACAATGGAGGTAAATGTAGACCCAGCCATTAGCATCAGCACTCGGTCACAAGTACTTTGTGTTGAGTTTTCGCCATTTGAATGGTCACGGGCACTGCTGGCCGTTGGTCTTCCTACCTCTGTGGCTGTGTACTCCTTCAAATTTAAGGTAATCGCACTTTATTTTGATCTCTCGACCCATAATATTTGAAGGAATACCCGTGTAGACAAGTGTAAATCTTTATTGGGCTTTTATTTTTAGACGAGCTCATTTTCACATGAACAACCCCTAAGATAATCGTATTTAATTTTTGGCGTGTATACATTATTTTAGAAAGAAACTATGTTACATATTTTGTATATGTATAGTTTTCTCTCAGTTGGCTGTATTGGCAGATTTTAGCATTTGGACAGAGATATTAAAGATATTGTATGTCTAATTTTGTAACCTCTGCATTTCTTGCTTGGAAATACAATGCATACCCATATCATTTCAATTACAGTATGTATGCCAGGATATAAATTTTTGCATAGTAAATGCAAGAGCTCACTCCACTAGAAGAGGTCCATTATTTTCCTTGTTTTAACTGTACATAATGATCATACAATGCTACAGAATGGTGTTCATACATTGCACCAGCCTTTCCAGCGCAGTGATCCATTTGATATTGGAGCAGATAGTTTACACTTTCTCACTTTTCATTGTGATTTTCATCATTAATATGATCAATATCAGATCATTATGGATTTTCTGTATATTATATTCGTATACAGTATATAATATATACAGTATACATATATTACATGTCTGTATTGTATTATAATAATAATGTGTATAATTATTCTTAATCTATGGTAACAAATGATGTTTTATAATGACTATATAGTGTTGAATTTGTTTTGCACTTCACTAATGCAATAAAAACCAGGGCTGTACATGTTTTTTGTTCTGACTCATCACTTTTGTTATCTATTATAATTGAATTGAATTTTTTGGGGTAAATATAAACCATCTCAGAGCAGGAAAGTAAATGCTAGGTATTTTTATCTTGCAGCTTCACAAACAAACTGTACTTAGTGAATTTTACTCGTGTAAATATGGAAGATTTATTATTATTATTATTATTATTATTATTATTATGTATTTATTTTTTGTTTTGTAACTGCACCATTATGTAACTTTTTGTTGTAGGAAGAGGGAGATGACAGTAATGAAGAATGTGAGCAAGTATGGGAATGGCATGTTTCAAGCCAACCAGTATCTATGGCTTGGAGCCCTAGTTCGACACTACGGGCAGCGTCGTGTTGTCTTCAGTTAGCCGTGGCCTCGGCAGACAACAAAGTTATGCAACTTTCGTCTGATCTGGGAGAAACTAACACAGTACAGGTTAGCATTCTTATCTCTCTTTATACAAAAGAAACCATGACAGATGGGCTTTGTTAAATTTCTGTGCATGCCTCTGCATGTTATAAATATGGTAGTAATTTATGTAGTAAAATGCCAGCTGTAACTAATAGTGATATTGGATTTAAAAATATATTCCACCTGTACAATAAGAATGCTGCAATATTCAGTCTGTAAAGAAATGTTGCAGTTTTTATCCATTCAACCTTTAGGCAGGCATACATAATACAGCACGTCTTGACTGGCCAAGATGGTAATCAATACAAAATTTATAACCCATGATAGTAGCAAATCGCATTAAAAGCTGTACAGTAATTACATGTCTTGTTTGTCGATACATAAACATTTGTCATTGTAACCCTTAAACAGTAGCTGTGCCAGGTCGTGAAGCTATTTAAGTCTTAACAACCCAGATATTTTCACTCATTTACATTGGGTAATCAAGACTTTACTGTGCTGAATATGTAACGTGAATGTGTGTTTGTGACTGTAGGCACATGGTGTGTTATTTTTTTTTTTTTTTTTTTTTTTTTTTTTCTACCACAGACGTGGCCACACATTTACAATGCTAACCAGCATATATACATTTTCTTCTGTCCTCCATGGACAGGGTTGGAGATGTGTTAAGCATATAGTTCAGGGGTTTATTGAACAATCAACCACAGAAGGTGATTCGGTGCTTTTAAAATGCTAAGCGAACCTACATACGTAAATACATAGATATATTATGTAGACATATGCCCTACATAAAGTGTTCGATGTGTCTTTTACATAGTGTCATTAATGTGCATATACAAAGGTGAAATGTAATTCTGATCAGCTTCCATATATACTTTATACACATACACACACACACATACGTACATATACATGTATACATACATATATACACACACATGAATTCACATACATTTGTCTCTTTTGCTCTGACAGGGTGAGATAGCTGATAGAGAAACTAATGTGCAGTTAAGCACTTAATCATTGAAGGTGATTAAGGTACTTTTACAAGCTCAGGTTATATAATTACATCACATACATACATTGTATAATTGATACATTACATGGTCAATCTTGGGTACAAGTCCAATATATCATCAAGTGTTCCAGTACTCATATAGTAATTACAGAGTTCCGCATACCTCAGCCCAGGAGGGCAAAAGTGTTAATTCTTTGTTACAACTACTGTACTTTTTTATGGCTTTGAACAAACATGAAAGTGTTGGGATTTGTTCACATATACAGTATTGTATTTTTGCTATTTTAATAGACTTGTTATGCATTATATTATGCAATTTTCATCAGAAGATCTGGGAAAGATAAGTTACTACAAAATTGGTTCTTTTTAAATCAAAGACAGGTATTTAATATAATAAATTACAGTACAGTATAAGTATAGAAAATGTTCTAAATTTCTGAAGATAAAACACAGTGTGAGAAAATAATATATTACATATTTTTGAGGGAATACCACAGCAGACAGTATTGTTATTACTGAAGGGGGCTTTTCTGTTAAATTTCTCAAGAACAGTTTCTCAACATACTACTGTAAGATAAGTGTTTATAGAGACAAACTTGTTACATTATCCACTTAATGTAGGGGATTCTTCCCTCATGTAATATTGATTTCAACAACAATACTCATTGTTTGTGCCTTGAAACTTTATAATGTCTAATCCAAGGGTCACACATCTGTCCTGTTAGTTTTGGTATATTTTGACTGCAGTTGAAGGCTCTATGATGTCTTCATTCTTAATGCTAAGTGCCAAAAATTCCGAGTGGATTCTGCACTCCTTCCACTTGCCGTGTATGGTGTTACCTAGTTCTTTGTAAACTCCTGAAATGAGTTAGCTGTTGCCTTTTAACCTTCAAACAGTATCTTGTGATTGGCGTGATATTGGTGGTGTGTGCGCCTCATTACACTCCTGCAGAAACTTTCTTAAATTCTTCACCTCCATACTGCCAGTGTCTTGAGCACATGATATCCTTTCTTTATCTTTCTTTATCTTTCTACTGCAATATTTTTGTACACGTGTTTTTCATTGCAAGCAATTGCTGGATGCTTTCTTTGCCAAGCTAGCACATGGATTTGGAAAGATTTCTTGTGCTCTGTTCATAATCTAAACACTTGAAAAGTCAGAACTGTAGCATTGTTTTGGGTCTAGAGAGATTGACCTTTTAATCCAGTTTCAATTTTTTTTTTTTTTTTTTTTTTAACTTTTTTTTTTTAACTACATTGTCACAATTTCATGTGACTATTGTGCTTTAAATAATGCTTTTTAATTACAGGACATACTCAGTCACAGTGACTTCGTGAACAGTGTGACATATAATGGCGATAGTGGCACATTTGTGGCTTCTACTGGGGATGATCTTACTGCACGTGTGTGGGAGAGTTCTTCGCAGATGCAGATTGCCAAGTTCCTGTTAACGTCTCCAGGTATACCATATAGTACTAGACTGTTTATACACAGGTCGTGTGAAGGTGTTGTACTAAATGAATGATTGCATCAATGGAAAACAAATATTGGATAGAAAGGTAGAAAGGACTGGGTCTTCAATGAGTAATTTGGTCTTCAATGAGTAATTTGCAAACAAGCCGAGTTGATGCTTGTACAGTATAATAATTTTCTGAGTTGTAATATGCCGTTACTTCCCAAAAGTGTATTTGTATTGATCCTCTGTGGCTTTGGGATCACAGCACTTTTTTGGATCCTCTGGATCCTCTGTGGCATTTTTGGGATCAAGATAAATAAGACAAATATTTAGGCAGGCGAGACAAGAAACTGATGCTATATGAGCATGTCTACTGTATATACAGTATATGTGTCACTCCATTGCCTCAAAATGATGTTCATATAATAGAAGTGTTTTATAATGTCAGATTTCAAAGAAATTTTCCCCATTACAGGTTTATACAGAAATTTCATATTACTCCTCAGGTATGGTTGTCTGCTTCCATCCTGAAGATCCAGATTTACTCTTGGTGGCAGAGAAGAAAGGGGTTTTGAGGGTGTACTCTGTGAACAGTGGATGTTCTACGCTGTTCTTGCGGTGCCCCGGTCCTCTCTTGAGTGCTGATTGGTCCATTCCTGATCCTGCTTATATAGTTGCTGCTGGAGCTAAGGGACTTACTGTGTGGAATGTTTCTTCTCTGCAGTAAGTAACTTACTTAATAATAAATATTTTCATTATCCCAGTACTGTATAAGGCCGACTGTTAAGTTACCCTTTTAAATCTCTGTGAAAGAGTAAGAGAAGACATGATTGAAGTGTGGTAATTGAAGTTTTAACAAGGCATATAACTATGGTCCTAAAAATATTAATGTAAGTTAGAATATGAAACAAGAGATTCAAATTTGCAGAAGTTTAGATTTAGAAAGGATACAGGTCAACTCAGGTCAAGAAATAGGGTTGCAGATCTGTTAAAAAGTTGGCAAGTGACTTTATTTAGAAAAAACTCACTGGGAAGCTTTGAGTATGTGTTGGATAAGTACACAAGTGGAAGTGTTTGGATATACTATATCTAAATATTAGCTGCTTTGCATGGGCCAACATGCTTCTGAAAGATTCTGCATTCTCATATTCTTACTGCTTCCAAGCTTTTGAAGGCTTCTCTTCAACTATGGTATGGTTTGTCTTCTTTATATAAGGTTCCAGTGATAACAAAACATTCTATAACACAAAGAGCTAAAATTTGTCTTGATTGAACATCTTTTTGTGCTTCATAGTGTTTTGGAAAGTTTTCGTTATGTAGGTTTGAAGGATGTGTGTCCTATATGGATATTACTAGGAAAGACTTGAGTATCATTAATAAAGGATGATACAGCACTAGTTTATAAGTACAGTACTGATTTGTTTGTATTAGTTATGCATTTATGACTGATCTGTTCATGTAAATTGTGTATTTTTAATTTTGGATCATTTAACGATGTACCCATTTTTTGCAGACCGCACAGTGATGCAGTGGAAGTTGGGGGCGGAGAGAGAGTCTTAAGTGTACAGGTGTGCCGCTCCACACCTGGTTTGGTGGCCACACATGCTTCCCCGCATGTTGTTCGTGTAACCCACCTTCACTCTAATAAAGTTCCTATTGCCGCTCACCTAAAGGTATTATTTTATTTTGGTAGCAGGGTTTCCTTGTTTGGTGAAACATACATGTATGTTTTGTTCCTCGTTTATGCTAGATTCTATGTCTGTATGTTGTGTAACACTTAAGTGTTAGGGCATCTAATGTAAAATACATATATTTAGTTTTGTCTGTATTTCTGTATACTGTATATACCTTATTTGTTCACTACACATTAATGCAGGAAAATCCTAATTGTCTGGTACTCATTGCCTCCTAATATTTCTTCACCCTGATTGTCAACCTCTCTCAAAATTCTTCTAACAAACTCATTCATATACACTCTTCACTCTTCGTTTACTGTTTATTTACTTGCTCTGCATGACCATAGAGTGATATATATGACCATGTGTATCACACAATTCATATAATTCTTTGTTGTCTACTGTATTCTTCAATCTCCATCTATGGTCTTCAGATTCTCAGTCATTGCCGCACTAGCTTGATTTTCCACATTTTAATGTACAGCATTGTTTTGGAAAATTCTATTTTGAACTATTGGACACTTCTCCTGTTAATCTTGAATTCTCCACCAAGGTTACACTCCAATACCTCAGTGAACCTTGTAAGCAAAGATACATTTAGAAGTCTATGGTATGTTGGTTATTATCTATTTATGATTTTTTTGTCCTGCAGGTTGTGGGAGGCATGAGCTGGCATCAGAATCTTCCATATCTATCTGTAGGATCGGATCGAAAAATTCTAATTTGGAAAATTGATAATGTTTAAATTGTATTGACTTATTATATGTAATATAGTGTACTGTATGCACATACATATATTTTTATAGGATACATATATTGTTCTACTGCAAAGGACTAATATTTGTATGAAAGACAAAGTTAAGTGAGAATTAGGTTAAGATTTGATGAATTTATAAGCTGAATATAAACATTTTATATTTCCATTTTTCAAGTGTTATCAAGTGCAAATACTGAAAGAGATTATTTGTGTGTGTGTGTGTGTTTGGGTTTGAAATTTAATGTCATGTAATCTTTTAAGTAATTTTTTGTCATTCATTTAATATTTTTTTATCCTGATTGATGTTCTAATATTTGTAGTGTCTTAAGAATAAATATGTATTTAGTAGATATGATTTTTTATGGAAATAAATTCTGAATTGAACATTTTGTAACAAAAGGTAGATGTTTATATTTCCACGGGTCATTTGAACTATGGGTTATCAGTGCCTACATAGAGACTGTAGGGATCCCATCTTTCTTTGCTATTTCCCGGTGTCGAGCAGCCAGGGCGTATCCGATCCCTCGATCATCGTCGCCCCTCAACCAGCAACCACCAACCACCACCATCAGTGCCTGCTTGAACACTGCTACTGCAAAGCAGGTTTGGCATTCAATTCAACCTTGCAGTTCCCTTTAGTAGTCTACTTCATTTTCTTTTACCCGATTGTTTTAAATGTATTTAGACAATTTTTTGTTTATATCCATGCATACTTCATCACCCAATGTCTTCACTTTCACATAAGGTTTTAGAAACAATGCAAAATTGAAGATATAACTCATCTGTTCATTATTTACAGTATAATGGATAAACTTCATGGATAAGCAAGCGCCACCACACACAGTCATCCTCAACAGCAACTCGTTCACAAGATACAATGCTCATTATGAATTTTCGTATTTGCTGTACAGCATATACAAGCACATTCACTCTGAACTTAAAAATCACTTGCACCCAGGTTTGTCCCTTACCATGCATCATATTATTCACACCGACTTCCTACCTCCTCACACCCTTGCTCATGATGTCTGACCCAGTTCTGTCCTCTGATCCTCAAATTCACTCACATTCTTTGCATTTTTATCATCCATAATCAGGGAACACAGAATGAATATCGGAGGCCCAGAGCTATTCAAACCATCTCCTGCAAAATAAATATTGCTGGAAGTAAAGCAGAAACTTTCAAAAGAAAATTTAGAAAAGTTCCTGCAGGATGTGCCAAATCAGCTGGGTTGTATTGAGCATGCAGACCATTGACTGAAACCTTGCTGATCAAGTTATCACCAGACAAGTTGGGTTTTGAGAGAAGAATTCTCAAAACATTACAGGTAATCCATAGTTCGGCATACCCAAATCAGTTTGGTAGGTTTACAATCTTGTAGTTCATCATCTTGCAATCTACTTATCTCCATACCATTTACATTGTTTCACTCTCTTCTGACACAGCATAGGCATCTCAGATTGTCTATTTCTACCACTTCAAGTATCACATCTCTTCCTACAATATCTTGTGGAAAATAACCTCATATGATTAACATGTCTTTCGTTCTGCGACTTGCACTCTTCTTTAGTTGCACAAATATATGTACAGTATTTAAATAAGTTGATGTTTTGAGCATCACTGAGCAAATTTTAAAATACCTATCATTGCCTTTGGTGAGAAAATAGGCAGTGGGGGTTGCCACATCCCTAAGTGTGCCGGTAGTTAATAACTACAGTGGGTAAACATATGCTAAGTAATCCCTTGATGGCCAGTTGGTTAAGGGCAACACTATATGACTACAGTACTTTAAGGCAATGGCATTGATAATACATATAATTCAAATTAGAATTTGTTACTCTTGGTAGGAAATAAGAGTACATGTATGCCACTAGCAACATTGTTTATCTATAGATTTACAGCATAAACTTGTACATGTTCTGACTGTTCTTTTGACACTTTGTTCTGAATATTGCTAGTGGCAAACAAGTATTCAGAAGCTTAACTCTACTAATGTATACCAATTGTAACGGCTCTGCCTTGACTGAGCAGGTACAACTGTATATGCTTGTTCTACTGACTCTAGAACGGAAACACATCAGGTTTGACTGAAACAAGCAAGTTACTGAGGGGAATAGTTCAAGTGGATATAGGCAACTTTTTCCAGGTGAGAGACAACAGAACGAGGGGGGACAGATGGAATGTGGAAACATACGAGACGGGTACAAGAAATACCCTAGTGTAGTGAGGATGGCAAACAAGTGGAATGAGTTTGAGGCACACGTCGGGGAAGTGACCAAGGGTAAGTACTTCAGAGAACTTGAGGTGATTTCAGGGCTTAGTGTCCCCGCGGCCTGTTCCTCGACCAGGCCTCCACCCCCCCTAGGAAGCAGCCCGTGTGAGCTGACTAACTCCCAGGTACCTATTTACTGCTAGGTAACAGGGGCATCAGGGTGAAAGAAACTCTGCCAATTGTTTCTCGCCGGCGCCCGGGATCGAACCCGGGATCATGCGTCCAGTGTTCTGTCCACTCAGCCACCGGCTCCCTGGGACGTAGTTTCTCGCTGGCGCCCGGGATCGAACCCGGGACCACCACAGTATCACGCGTCCAGTGTTCTGTCCGCTCAGCCACCGGCTCCCTGGGACGTAAAGGAGAGGGGACGGGGGATTATAAATGTTTTGAATACAATAGTTATGAAGCAGGGCCAAAAGTTAGAGCTCACTCCCTGTAGGTCTATCAAGGCAAGTACTGTACTGCTAGAAAGGAAAAAAGGAGGCTACTGGTCAGCAATCACAATAAGCAGGGGTATGGAACCTTTCGTCGTACGAAAACCAGATTTTGCTTAGTGGAGATTTCACGAGGCTGCACATTTGTGTACTGTATGCATGCAAATGTCAAAAATTACCAAAATTTAATTCATTTAAATTACTTTCGAAGGCCACAGTGAGTACCATAAAAGGACACAGGTTCCCCACCCCTGATACCGTATAGAGAATCACCAGTGCCAGTCACGGTACTAGAGAACATTATACAGTTACTTGGATGATAAGAAGCACATCTATCCTATTAGACAGCTATATTGCAAGGGGGCCAATAGACAGCAGCAATGGTTACCTCACTGGACTGGCCACCTTATAAGCAGCCACCAGATATCAATAATACACAAAGCAAATCACCTCACGAACTACCATTAGACAACAAATCTGGCATAAATCAGCAGCCTTTACAACCACAGCCTAAGCAACTAATAAGCCAGACCAGTGGAATATGCAGCACCAGCATGAAATTTGCACCTCGTGAGAGACAAACCGAAATTATTAAAAAGTTCACAAGTTTGCAATAAGGCTAGTGTTTAAATTACAGATCTCAAGATACTAAGGTAGGTAAAGGGAACTCAGATATGAGATATGCTCATTACATAAAAAATACTGATGGCAATTACACAAAGTGAGCACGGACAACAATTCCAATTTAAGGATATTAGAAGAGACTGGTGGAGTCTAGACCCAGACACAAGTAACGAAAAACACAGACACGGTGTAAGCAGTCACCAAATTGAATGACTGAAGAATATGCGGAAGTCACCTCCATCCACAGGTTCAAAAGAAAATGTGATAGAATTCAAACGTTCAAGTTAGTGTTCAAAAACGTATCATGCCTGAGGGCGCCTGACAGCTGGGTGGACAGCGTTTCGGATTCGTAGTCCTGAGGTTTCGGGTTCGATTCCCGGCGGAGACAAATGGGCAAAATGTTTCTTTCGCCCTGATTCCCCTGTTGCCTACAAGTACATAGGTACCTGGCAGTTAGACAGCTGCTACGGGCTGCTTCCTGGGGATGTGTAGCAAAAAGGAGGCCTGGTCGGGGGACGCTAAGCCCCGAAATCATCTCAAGATAACCTCAAGATGCCGGTACAGATAGCAAGGAAGCTGGGTTCAAAGAGCTCTATCTTACTCCCAGTACTAGACAATCGCCACATTGGGAACAACGAGACAGTCGCCACATTGGGAACAACGAGGCAGTCACCACGTTGGGAACAACGAGGCAGTCACCACGTTGGGAACAACGAGACAGTCGCCACGTTGGGAACAACGAGACAGTCACCACGTTGGGAACAACGAGACAGTCGCCACGTTGGGAACAACGAGACAGTCGCCACGTTGGGAACAACGAGACAGTCGCCACGTTGGGAACAACGAGACATTCGCCACATTGGGAACAACGAGACATTCGCCACATTGGGAACAACTAGACAGTCACCTTGTCAGAAAGTGTTGAGATAGGGAACGTTTGCTAGGCAACAAGCCCAGACAGAAGCCGGAAGCCTACTAGACAAGCCCATGCATACATCAAAGGGTTGCTAGCTAGCAAGCCCTAACTGCGCCGCCACACGTTCAGCAAAACTCGAGTAAGAATATCCAGGCAGCGTCGACGACTCGAGAAAATTCCCATTTGCCATTGTGGGAAGGCATTAGAGCGTGGCGGGCGGTGGCGGGAGTCCGCTCTCTCTCACGAACGCCATTATTTGATTTTCTCCACACTCCTCTGCACTCCGGACCGTTCCCGCTGTGTTCCACGGAGCTCGGAATGGTGGTGGGAATGCCAGGGAACAGCCGAGCGAAGCGTTGTGGAATGGTGAGCGAAGTCCCTTGGTGGAAGGCGCCAGGGGGGGGGGGGAGGCTCTTTAGATGGCCAGAAAGCTGTGGATTGCGCGGGAAGTTGAGTTTCTTCTAGTCAACATTTAGGCGTCGGGCTCTCGCTTCTTCGCTTTATGGGGTTTGATGGTCGTCGCGTGTCATTGTGGTGTGGATTATTCTTCCCCATTCCTTCTTCCCTGTGTCTTGTCCGGCTTTATTTGTGTGTGCGCGCGCGCATGCGGGTTTGCTGAAGTCAAGTACAGTATCTGCTTCTACTCTGCTTTTCAAACCATTAGTAGTTAATACGATAATAATTCTCTTTTGTTTTTTTCACGTAGTCGTAATGGCTTGGCTTTCCCCTTGATAATTTTCTTCTCTTCATCTTAATGTAAAATTGTGTATTAAGTTAGCATGGAATTAGTTTTTTTTTTACCTAATTCATTATATTTATATACAACTCACACACTGAAGTTCCTCTAACATCTCTGTGACTCGTTTCTGTCTCCAGTTTCCCTCTATCATCCCTCGTTCTGCTGTTTCTCTCTTTAAACATTGCTCCTCTGTCTACTAGGTCTATTTCCTTTAGGATGTTATATGTCGCTATTATATCTCCCCTGTTTCTCCTTTTTTTCAGTGTGTTGAGGTACAGTTCCCTGTACCTGAGGTGTAGAGGTACCTTACAACTGCTGGGTTACGAGAGATATTGATTACGGGCTCACCATAGCCCGTGCTACATGAACATTTCGTTCGGAGTAGCTAGATCTAAAACAACAACAACAGATAT